CAGCAGGCAGTGTGGAGACCAGGGTAGTGGAAGTGTGTCTGTGGGAAGTGGAAGAGGCTCCCTCTGCCAAGAAAGCAGAGATCAGCCCTTGGGAGGTGGGTGGAGGAGCAGCAGAGGAAAGGGAACTGGAACGAGAATCACAAGGGCAAAGAGAGATGTTTCTTCAGAAGGCAGGACCTGGAGGGACTGAAGAACACTTCTCAAAAGCAGCAGCAAAGCCCAGAGAGCAGGAGGTAGTCTGCCTTGGGGAAGGCACAGGCTCAGGAGGGCTCTTGCCCCAGTCAGGTGCCCTGGACCCAGAACTCAAAGTCAGCCCCGAAGGAGCAGGCAGCATGGGGAGCAGGATGGCAGAGCTGTGCCAATGGGAAATCACAGATCCAGAAGGAAATAAAATAAAGGGTACCATGGCAGACATCTGTCCTGGGGAGGAAACTGGAGTCCCACCTGAGGAATCTGGCCTCCTAGCTTTAACAGCAACTCAGAGAGAATTTTTCCCCACAGCTCCTGAAAAACCACTATGCCTTTTAGTCCATGGGCCTCTGGATCACTTCTTTCCAGAAAGCAAAATCCCCTGCCCCAAGGTCAGCAGGCCAGCCAGTACTTTCACTCTTGAAGGTGTCAGAGAACTACAAGGACCTTCAGGGCTTGAGCCAAGGACCAGCTTAGCCCCAGAGCCAAGTCTCCAGGAAGCTGAGGCTCAGTCTTCCTCCTTAACTGAAGGCTCAGGCCAAGTGGCTTTTGAAGCTCAGTATGAAGAATTCACCCCTCCAACTGTCTATCCTTGGGATTGGGAGTAACAGCCTTATTAGGTGAGGTCAAACACAGAGCTAGCTTTCAGGAGCCAAGGCTCTCTCCAAGTCCAAGTGTTCCCAAAGAGCTGAATCAAAGACGGCTTGGCCACTTCCCCTCCTTGAGAAGACCAGAAGTCAACTCATCCCAAAGACAAATTGTATGAAAAGGGTACAGCTTGGACCCCAATGGGAAGGCCCATCCTCTCTTTACTTCTAACTTTTCTTCCTGTTCGAGGAAACAAAGACTGGACACTCTGCTTCCAAGGACTCCTCCCATCCACCTATAGTACTCACAACACAAACCACCCAAGTCTGGACACTCACCCACAAAGCCAGTGTTAGGGACGAAAGGAAGTCAGCTGTGCCCAGCCTGCCTTCTCTCACAGGGAGACCCAATTCTCTGAAGTCTATGACGGAGCATTTTTTGAGAGGAAACTAAACCATACAGAGTGTTGGCAACATAGGGATGGTGGACCATAGAAGGCTATAAAGGCCACCATAGGAAGCTGAAGAGCCATTTAATTGAAGCTGAAAGATAAATTGGGGGAAAAGCTAAAATGACTCAAAATAGGTGCCTGAAAATGCATTAAGGACCTTGTCATTTTGACTTTGAATCTCCTGTTTCTGCTTTATTGCTTCTCATACCTGCCTTGCTTGACTGCTGAAGCAGAAACAACTAGGCATGCTGACATCCTTACCAACATCTGGCATCCAAAGCAACGTAAGAGAGAAAGAACACAGAAGAAAAGCAATTTCCCCAGGTCCTCCCCACAGTCAAGGGAGCTCTTCCTTCTAGACATCCTTGTGTGCCTCTTGCTAGTTTTTTAGGGGGTCTCCCCCTCTTCCTGCTCCAGCTCTCACCAGTCTCCAGAGCTCGCCTCACTGGCTCATTTGTCTCCCCCTAGCTTTTCAGCGCTGCCATCAACAGGACCTCTCTCTTTTGTCAAAGCAACTGGAGTCAAGGGGAATCTCTGGTTCTGATGCAAGACCCACCCCACCCCCCCACCTCTCCCTGCCCAGGAATCACTAGTAACAGGAGGCCACATCAATCTCCTTCCAGAGGAGCTCAAGAAAGGCGGTCCTGTACACAGCCAGCACTCTAATTCTTCTGCCCTCTGAAAGAGGAGTGCTATGGGGCAGGTTAGAAGCCTGAGGGGCGGGAAAAGGGCACTGTTGAAGACAAAGCCTTCTTTCTTAGGGAGCTCTTTCTTGGCTCGGCTCTCTTGTCTCCTCAGTTCAGGCTACCCTTGCTTAAGCAGTACTAGATTACAAAGTGCTGAGATTAGATGATAATACCAGAGGAAAATGAGGAAGGAGAAAAACATACAAAGAAGTCCCAAGATTGGCAAAGGGAGGTGGGAAAGCAGGGAAGGGGCAGCTAGAGATGGCAGAGCTGGACAGGGGCACTAAAGATGGCAGTAAGTCACACCCTCTAACAGTACAACAGTACCGACACTGATGTCATTCATGGGGAGAAAAAGATGAAACCGGGAGACCAAATACCCAAAGGGAAAACGAGCCGTTAACATCTAGTCTGCATATAAATATGCTGGGTGGTTATGGGACTTCACAGAGAAAGTAACAAACTACTCCATTTCTAAAAGGGAACAGAGGAATGGAGTAACCTACTCTCCTTTGGGGACCAGATGTCCTCATTCCCTTACCTAGGGCCCTTATTCTGGGCTTTCAGAGCAGTAATTTAAGTGTGGTGTTGTTCTGGGCTCTGGCTAGTTAGCCTTACAGTTTCTGAGCTAAAGTGGATTTCGCTGTGCACCCCAAAACAATCCCGTTGGGTCTGGTCTAGCTGGAAACAGCAAAGTGGGTTTGCCGCCAAACCCACTCTTGTGAAATAAACCATGGGGAGCGGAAATAAAGAGTGCTTTTTCTTGACGCTGCAGTTGGCTCTAGCTTATTCATAATGATGATTATCTTTTTTAACATTTTTAAACAGTAACAGTAGATAGATAAGGAAAGAACAATGCCTGCTCCAAAGCTCAAGGTAGTAACACTGCAGCCTTGGGACTTTCGGTTATCTGGCTAATGCTCTGCCAGTGCCCAGGTCAGTGCTGACACTGCAGATGGTCTCTGCCTGGTCCTTCTAGCGAGCCCCTCACATCTGGAGGCCATTTGCTCAGCTGGATTTAATCCCAAGGGGAAATGGAAATTGCACTCATCCTCTGGCTCTCTGGTGGCAGCTACTGCTTAGCTGCTATTTAGGATTATCTAGAGAACCCCGAGATATCCAGGGGAGTGGGATGAAGGTTTATTTGAAGCATTGTTTTTACATATTCAAAGGAATCAATGTATTGTTTGCCCACTAATGTGCTTTTTTTTTTTCATTTCTTTGCTTCCTTACCCTGCAAGGATTATTTCCCCTTCCTCCATATTCCCTGGCAGTGGGTCCTGCTCAAAGCACGTCCCTACTCATTTTGCCTTAATCCAGGGCTCAAGCGAATAGGATGTGATCAAACCTCACTTGGGCAGTAATTAAAGTGATGTACACTTTAAGCCAAAAAGGTTGGGACTAAGTAGCATGATGAGAGTGGCTGATGAGAGACACCAGGGCTGTCTCTTCCCTAAGCATATATATCTTTGTTTCCATAGTTAACACTTAACAGGCTGGGCATGGTGACTCACACCTATAATCCCAGCACTTTGGGAGGCCAAGGCAGGT